GATAGATAGATAGATAGATAGATAGATAGATAGATAGGACAGGGGAATGCTGCTGTCTCCACAGCTTAGACTGGTATCGGATTGCACTACCTGTGGTGTCGGTAATTGACAAGAGAATATCATTCTCATATTGTACCTCTCTGTACAGAGAGGTAAAATATGTATAACACAATTTCTATTTTACCACATCAGTATATGCACCAAATTTATGAGCAAGGGTATTAGCTTGAACATACTATATTCTACATTTTCTACATATATCATCATCATGACAGATTCTCTGTGATGATGACAGATTATGCTTATTTGTTTTACAGAGAAGTTGAGAATCCAATATTTTCATTCTAAAGCACTTTTGATACCACATATCCTCCTTTACTTAATTTTCACAGTTGTGTGAGTCTGTCTATGTGTGTTCAAATGTAAATTCATTTAAACACATTCCTGAAGAAAAAACATCTGCTATAATAGGATAAAACCAACGTAAGGAATTGCTTCAATTAAATCATAGTACTGTCTTACTTAGAGGCTGTAACAAAGGAACACCATATTTTTAGATAATTCAATAAGAAAATAACATTTAACCATTTTTTTAGGCTTTTGTAAAGTTCTTCAGGATGCTCATTGTGAGTTTAAAATAGATAGCTAAAAGAGGAAAAATAGACAAATAATTAGATTCATTAGGAGTTTTGAAAAAAATTATAAAAATCGGTGGCTCAGAAAAAAAAATTCTGTTAGTTTATTGTGTTTTTTTTCCCCCTTGGCTTGTTCAACAATTTAAGAAACTCATATTATAACTACCTTAAAATATATTCAGACGGTTCTAAAAACTTAAAAGGACTTATGTAAGGAGGAATATTTATATACCAGAGTTTAAAATATATATTTCTAAAAGAATATCAGATCGACTATCTGTTTTCATAGCAGAAATGGTGGAAATTATACTAAGCTTACAATGGGTAGAGGAGGTTAGACCAGACAGGGTGGTGGTATGTACTCCAAAGCAGTTTTGGAAAGTATGATAAAATGATAGAAAAGATTTAGTATTAGAAATCCGGCACAGTCTATTCAGATTATATAGGGGTGGCATTGATATTTGGTTATGTTGGGTTCCAGCAAATTAAGGTGTAAAAGACAATGAAAAGGCAGATATATTGGCAAAAAGGGCTTTAGATGGAACAATAACCATTACAATTCCTTTTGGGAAAGGGGAAGGTAAATCACTTATTAGAGTAAAGAAATGGCAAAATGGCAAAAGAGATGGAACGAAGATAAGAAAGGAAGAGGATTATATAAGGTACAAAAATCAAGTAAACAGAATCCTTAAAGAGAGAAACAAAAAGGGAAGAAGTAATAATCATCAGATTAAGAGTGGGTCATACCTATTTAAATGACAATATATATTTAATAGTGAGGAAAAATAATGATAAATGTGAAGGATGTGGACAAATATAAAATTTAGAACAAGTACTGATGAACTGTACAACTTATAAACATGAAATGGAGAAATTAAGAAGGATGGTTGGAAGGATAGGGAAAGAATGGAGTCTTAAAGGAATATTGGGAAATTAAGGAAATAGAAAGGATATTCACGGATTAAGGGAAGCATTATTTATTTATCTACAGAATACAAAATAAAAAAAATAGAATTTGATGCAAAGTAATGTTGCTACACACTCATGTACAGTAGGTGGCGGTATGCACCTTAAAGTTGCTTGCTGTCCGCCATAATAGACAAGAAGAAGAGGAAGATTTCCCTCCAGACGCCACCAGCAGATGGCGCTGTTGTGTGGTAACGCTGCAAATGCTACAACGCCAGGACAAGAAGAAGAAGAACACTTGTTCGATGTATCCGGAAGTTGCTTGCTTTCGGAGCTCTGGAAGACAAATGCAATTTAGTGTTTTACTTCTTTCACTAGAGGTTTCCAATAGTGAAAATGGTGCGGAGTGGCAAAGGTTTGTCCCATATGTTACATACTTACCTGCTGGTTTCGTTACTTAATGTCTCCATTTCAATAAACGTTGCAGATATTTAATTAATTCCAATGCTAATTTTAGCTCATTCTCGCAGTGTTTAGAAGTGAATATAGGTACTTTGAATCTTCAAAATCTACTTTGCTTCATAAAAGACCTGGCTGTTGTGTCGCTTTTAGGCTCCCCGCTCCCTCCAGCGTCGTTACAGCTGTTGGTCCCACCTGTCAGGCTGATGTCTGCCTTCGTGTGGAAAGCGGTGCAGCAGGACAGTGCTATGCAGTATGAGAAGCTGCTGGACTTCATCGACCTGCTGACAGAGGTAGTCCCGGAGCTTCTCAGTCCCAGTCAGAAGGGTCAGCTCGTCCTGGGCATCAGAGCAAGGGTGAGCAAAACACTGACCCTTCACACCAGACCGTGAAAGAAACCAGCATATTTGGTCAAGCCTTCTAGCACTTTCCCCTCTAAATTACATATGAAGCATTAAAGCATTTTTGTCTTGCAAAAAAAGTCAACATTTATACACCAAAACCCAACACAGATCCCGCACGGATTCTTTAAAAAGCAGACATTTGGGGCTGAAACAGTTCAATTCAATTCAGTTTATTTATAAAGCGCCAGTTCACAACACATGTCATCTCAAGGATCTCTAGAGTTCACCAGATCAACAGTCAAATTGATTAAAAGTTTTCTATCTAAGAAAAACCTGTTGATTGCATCGATTCATTGACTCGGATGCAATCCCTCACACTAAGCATGCTTGTAGCGACCGTGGAGAGGAAAACCTCCAGCAGAACCAGGCTCAGTGTGAGCGGCTATCTGCCGAGGCCGACTGGGGTTCAAGGAGACAGAAGCAGAGACACAAAAACCAACAGTAAAAGGCCACCCCGTCCAGGAAACACACAACCAGGCAGACGAGCTCTGAGCCAACTCCCATGTCAGAGGATGAAGAGAGCACATCCAGCCAGTCACAGTCAGAGAAACAGGACACTGGAAAAACAGGCCAATCTCCAACATACAGTTAATGGGATTAATCAATTATCGAAATAATCATCAACTAATTAATAAATGAATCGTTAACTGGAGTGTAGCGACTTGAAATATGCTTTTAGCTGACAGAGAAAACTGGTTTAATTTAATAAAATTCTTCTTTAAGGAACCTTTTGCTATCCAATTATGAATTGATTAATTGAAAAAATAATCAACAGATTAATCGATTTGCAAAAGAATCATTAGTTGCAGCCCTACAAACGTTACCACAATAAACAATAAGATTAAGCATCTTCTTAAAAAGAAATAACTGTAATCTGTTCTATTAAGATTTTTATCTCGAATCTATTGTATTAGTCTCTCATGTAGCTATAGTATTTTTGGCTCATTTCCCTTTTTTCTTTTCTTTTTGTCATTACACTGTCACATGTACCGAGCAACGAAATGAACCCTCTGCATTTAACCCATCCCCTTCAGCTAGCCAGCCGCTAGCTCAAGTGGTATCTAAGCACTCATATCAAATAAGAATTATTAGATATATTGCTTCATTTCAGCAAAGCATTTAGATGTTTAAAAATGGCCTCACATCTGACTCTCCTGAGCTTTACAGCTCAGAGTTTGCCTATTCTCCTTATGCATGAAGGTTTTTACTCTGGGTACCTTGATTTCTTCTTACTGTTTTATATACTGTCTCTAAAATGATCCCCACCCAGTATGGGTTTGTGTTTTATGGTGTGTTTTTTTTGTTGTTACCCTGTTATTGACTGGCTAACTTGTTCCCCTTCTCTTGCTAATTGAGGACTGGAGATGGGAAGGGTACCTAAAATTAATTGGCTTGTATAGCTGAGGACTAGATTATTTTCATATTTCTTCCCATATGTCATGAACTTTGTCTGCAACCTAAATTGTTGTGGTATTTGTGGATTCATAAACATAAGAGAACCCCTCCAGTGCCTCTCCAGTTTAAACAGTTCTAAACTGATCCAAAGCAGGTCAGCCAATCACGTTGCAGTATTACGATTTAAGATGGGACACATAGCTGTGATGAAGGCAACAACTTCCGAGCTCACAGCCCAATCAAAATAAACATGGCAGTGCAGGACGACGCAGGCGTAGCTGCTGCTATCACTTTTTTTTTGTCAGAATCCATGATTTCATCTTTAAAAGAGGAACGGCAGGAGTACAAAACTGTAAGTGATTGTTGTTTCTCTTGGCTTCTGCTGCTTTTTCATTTGTTATCATGATTGCCTAAACCAAATCTGTCTTTTTAGGTTTATTCGTCAGATGTTTGTAGCTTCTGTTGATGTCTATGCTCTATCTTTATAACCTCTCCAACCTTTTATCCCACTGCAGTTTGTTCTGGAGCTTTGTCGGGGCAACGGTGTTGCCAACCTCAAGACCATCCAAGGACACCTGGATAAAATACACACCTGCTGCCTGGAACTGAGCAACAGTGAACAAATGGTGAGCTTTCATAAAATATAATAATCCTTTTGCTCAATCAAAAAAGTAAAAATACAAAAGAAAAAAAAAGAATCTGATCATTAATGTTTTTGATAACTTTTGTGCACCCACTTCTTGACAGGAGAGCTCTGATATTCTGAAGACCTCCTACAGCAACTTTGCAAGCCTGGTGCAGAACATTTTGAATGTTCCCTTGGAAAAGGAAGTTTTCTTCCAAGTAAGTTTTTTTATTTTAGAAATATTATATCTCAGAAAAGAAATCTATATATCTTTTAATTTAAAGGTATGGTGGAGGATTTTCATGATTTTTTTATTTTTTTTAAAACTGCCCTGTCTATAAAAAAAATGCACACGCACAACACTGTACCCGGTTCCGAGAGGGAACGCCTATTGAATGTGTGCGAGAGCATGCACAAGCCCATTTCTCCTGGTGTACTCTCTGTTTAAAAGTTTAAAACTTTTTTACATTTTCCACACTGTTAAGTGAAAATGGGGACTAGCACTTAGGACGGCCTTACCTAAACATATCACCAGAATGATTGACAATTAGGAGAACCAATTATTTTCATGATCCACCCAAAAAAAGAACATCTTCCACTATACCTTTAATAAAAATAAAAGGTCAAAAGTCTAGCCCCCCTCCATTAGTGAATGTAAGTAACCTCTGATTTAAAAAAGCAATCCATAACATTATAAGAAAGTAAAACCAATTTAAATCTGGCCCTTTGGTTGTATTTATAGGATGTTTTTCCTGAACACTATGGAGCTGCATTCAACCAGCGGATCCAACAACTTGTATCTTTACTTCTCACAAGGCTAGAGCAGCTGCTGCCCATACCAGACCTGCAGCAGGTACTCTAAAAGCTTCTACACAAGCACAGATTTTGCTTTTGTGTTTTCCCACCATTCATATGGATTCTGTTTGTAAATATCACTGAGCTGTCTGCACGCCTGTTGTCTTCTAGACTGCAAACTGGCTCAATGATTCATCTGCAGCAGAAGACCTTGTGCATCATCTGTCTGAACTGTTCCCTCTGAAGACTCTGCTGCTTCATCACAGAGAGCTGGGGACTCTCAGCTCAGGTGAGATCAATGATCCACTATATCTTTTCTTTTTAAATCTGAAGTGGCTCCAGTCTGTAGCGAAGTTTTTCTTTTACAGCTTCTTCGAGCACAGAAGAGGATGTAATTTTATCCACCTTGGCCCTTTCTACTCAAACTGATCAATTTAGCGAAGAGGATGAAGATGAGGACGATGATGATAAATTTGAGAGCGATGAAGAGCCGCTGGAGCTGGATGATATGGAGGAAGACTCAAATCAGAGTTTAGATGATGCATCGGAAGACTGGGTTCCAGAAACTAAATCAGGTCAGCTGGAATCTAAATATACTCTTTAATCAGTTACCATCTTACCTTACCCAAACTGGTTTTTGCTTTCTGTGTTTTCAGGTTCTCTCTCTCGTTTATTCATCTGTACCAAGAGTCCAGAAACACAGCATTTACAGAGGCCAGTTCGAAAGACCAACCAGCGCACGCAGCACTGGACTGTTCCTCTTGACTCCACCAAAGCAGAGAAAAAGGTAAACAAAAATCTTAAAATTAAGGAAATGAAGATTAAAAACAAGAAACCAGAAGAAAACTTAATTCAACAAAAAGGCAAGCAGAAAGACAGTGTTGACAAAAAGGGGGAACATGACCAGGAGAAAGATGGGTTGAAAAACAAAAGTCGACGGAAAAGGAAAGAGCCGACTGGCAATGATAGAAGGTTTCTTAGTACGCGACCTGTAAACAAAAGCTTCACAGAAGAGGAAACTAAATGCAAAATATGCGAGAAGATATTTGAGCATCCTAATCAGCTGAAGACACATGTGAAACTTCACTCCTTCCGTTATAGCTGCATTGAGTGTGAGAAAGGATTTACAAGCCAGTCAGGATATTATCACCATCAGAGACTTCACAAGAAAGGGCGAGTGTTCACGTGTAAGGAGTGCAACAAGGGCTTCTTGTGCAGCTATTCTCTCAAGCAGCACGAACGCCTGCACAACGGTCCCACCAACTTTTGTGAAATTTGTGAAAAAAACTTCAGCAAAAATGGCTTTGTAAGACATATGCAGATGCACAAAGGAGAAAGGAATTATCTGTGCACCATCTGTGGAAAGGCTTTTCTGTCCTCCGGAGAACTGCGACTGCACAATCGCTCTCACACAGGAGAGATGCCATACACCTGCAACCACTGCGGGAAGGGTTTCTCCTGCAAGGGTCACCTGGTCGTCCACACACGCTCTCACACTGGGGAGCGTCCATACCTGTGCTCCGAGTGCCCTAAACGTTTCCTTACTCTGAACTGCCTGAAGAGGCACGCTCTCAGTCACAATGGGGTGAAGCCCTTCAAGTGTCCAAGTTGTGACCGGGAATTCTCTCAGCAGGGGAATATGAAAAGACACATGACCATTCATAAACCTGACTGTTAGCAGTTTGACTTAAACCTCCATATTTTCCCTCCATGTTATGTTGAGTATGTTAGTAATGACGTTATCTATGCCTTCTTTATTGTAAATACTATTAAAGTACATTCACTAAATTTCGTTTTTGTTTATTTTGCTGCGTCCTGATTTAATTTTCATCCATTTTTCTTATTTTAATATATCTTTTTAAATGTAATTGTGTCACTTCAGCAAAGCCTTGCACGTAAAAACTGACCAATACAAACATCTAAGACAAAACTGAGAGAGATGGCTGCCCACGTTTACTCTGAATCTGCTCTATGCCTCCCTATATTATAGTGAGCAGATTAATTCAAAGACATTGTTTTCATATTTATAAAAGGTCGGCAGTCCTATTTTGTTTTAAAGTCTTTATAATAAAAGTTTCTAAAAGTGATCTATTCTAAAAGCTAAGATGCTTTTAGAAATTTATCGTACATTATTCTGCAATTATGTGATTTCTATTATATATGAGGAACTGTAACCCTTTTCTCTGTTTGATGGTAAATCTGGCTAATATGTTTTCTTCGTTTGATGTTAGTTGAGATCACATAAGATATTTTTGAGAGCTTTTGTTGTGATACAGGTTTTTATACTGACGTCATGTCATTTCCTTGTGCACTTCAAATTAGAAAATCTGCTGTCTTTGTAGCAGATCTGTGGATGCGTTTTAAGGCAGCGTGTAAAACTCACTGCTTTCCTTGTTCGACATCTTAAAAGAAAATAAACAAGCCAAAATATCAGGAAGGGAATTGAAATGTGGACCTCCATAAGTCCAATTTGTAGTTATTATTGCCATACCTGCGGGGTCATTCCTGTTCTATTTAAACCATTGTAAATAATTAACAGCTTGGGAATGTGAGGGGATCATGTTGTCTAAGAAAAATACAGATCAAAGATGTGCATCAACCCCAAAGCAAAAAACCTTAAGAAAATGCTTTCTTAAGCTGGAGAGGAGGTGTCCTTCTGTAGTGAATAAAACCCTGAACCAACATGACCTGAAAAGCATCAGATGCACTGATTTAAAGCTGGCTGCTCCTGGACTCTAAAGCAGTGGGTGCCTGTTCTCTCTAATGATGAATCCATCCATCCATGCTTAGTCCTTGTCAGGGGCTGGTGCCTATCTCCGGCAGTCTATGGGCAAGAGGTTGGGTACACCCTGGACAGGTTGCCAGTCTGTCGCAGGGCATCTTGCAGACACACACTCACACCTGAGGATAATTTAGAGAGGCCAATTAACTTAGCATTCATGTTTTTGGACTGAGAGGAAGCCAGAGTACCCGCAGAGATAATTGATGAATCCATCTTCTTCATTTAACAAACCAATCTGGGTTTTCTTCAGCTGTGAAAGAATGGATTAGGTTGCTGGTCCATAAACATCCCTACCTGGAGGACAAAGCAGCTAGGATTTTGTAACCAGATAAGGAAAAGGGAACTGAAACACAACTGTAGGAAATGCAATTTATTTGCAACTTTTAATAACATCATTCCTCAGATAAAAATGCAATGTTACAGGAATATACATCAGATATTAATTTAAAACTTGCTTTCAAGGGACCATACAGTCTAAATATACTTTTTCCTTTTTTATTTACTGGTAGCGTGCGTTATAAGCAAGACAGACTCTGTCACCAATGACAGACTGACAAGTTACAGATACAAACTGTACATAACTTATTTACAAATCAACTTTTTTTTGGTTTATTTTTTTCAATTCACTTTTTATGGAAAATAGGAGTAAAAAAAGTGATTGAATTAATATTCTGATTTATTTAACTTGTATTCTTTCCCTTTCTAAAATCTAAATTAAATGGACAGATAATAAAAAAAAATTGAAAAAAAGGAAAGAGAAGAAGGGAAAAAAAAAGGGTGTGTAAACTAAGACACCATGCAGTCCTCGCTAATAGACCAAAAGACAACTAAAGGAAACTAAATAATGATGGGCCAGTATCACTTCTTCGAAATTGGTATCAATGAAATCCCACCTGCTGTGGAGGGGGAGTGGCTTATTGTGAAGAACTACAAAAATGGCCACCTGCCTCCGAAGCTACCAAGCACAATAACATACTCTAATTTGTTATTTAGACCATAAATAGTGCTGTTAGTTAATATCACATTTAACAGTTTCGCCATTACTAACATTTCAACAAATTGAGCGTCATCTTCCTCTAAAGGACAAAAGACTCAGAATAAACATCTTTCAGATGAGTTAAAAGCAAACTGCTCAGTCCTGTCAGTAATGGCCCTTGAACACTTTGCATGGGCTGTAACCAAAGACACAAAAAGGACCGTGAGACCTTGCTGCTGACAGGAGAGTAGAACACACACCTCTGGAATACACTCAGGTAATGAAGAAATTAAAAAAAGTATATAGATGCTGAAGACGACTTGATGTAAACAGTGATAAATCTGCATTTCCCCACGTCACACAAGTCATTTAATGTTTCTTACTCTTTGTGCTCTAAAAATGGAAACCTAAGTGACAAAACCTTCTTTGACCGTGATTACCCTAAACATTTCCTGTAAGATCACTAATCATTTAGCAGATTATTCTATTTTTAAATCTTGGTTGTAAAATCAGCAGTTTAAGACAAATGAACCAGACATTAAGTCAAAAGAAGGTTAAGATTCCTCTGGGGTCGATTTACTGAATTTTTGCATAACCGTTACAAAAATAAAACAAAGGAGCACAAAGCTTTCAAGGACCTATTAAAACAGTCATCCTAAGTATTGACATATAGGTGCTGATGTATGTGCTGCTACACAATGAGTGATTTATACATAGTTATTCTGCATGCTGTTTTAATCCTACAGTACAAACAAATCTCTCCTGTTGCCTCCAGAGAAAAGGATGTGGGCAGCTCATCCCCACCAACCTCTGATACGCTCAGTAAAGAATTAGATCACTGACAAAAAAGCGATATACTGAAAGAACATATACAGGTTGTAAATTAGGTGTGTTTATGTATGTGTGTTATTTCCACATACAGTAAATAAATCATCCCGGTATAGTTCCTACAGAATCCTTCACCGCTCTGAGCCGTTTATCAATTCAATTATAGCAAGGATTCACTTTTTTGCACAAGCAACAATTTCAAGTGGGAAACATTTTTTTCAGAATGTAAACTTATCGTTTATCTGTCAATGCAATGGAAGCCTCTTGTTGCTCATAAAACTCCCCAAAAACCGAGCTGTCCTCCTAAGTCAAAATTAAAAAAGCCAGCATCTGCACAATTCCAAAACTCTCACAACACAGGATCTGAAAACCTGATGTTTTTTTATTTATACGTCAAAATCATACAACAGAATGCAACATCTCTCACCAAACTGCTATTTCACATTTTAGAATTTTGATATATTTGTATAATTTATTATCCAAAATACACAAATTTAATAAAACCATTTTTATGTATATATTTCTCTATATATAATCCCATCTTTTTCTTTCTGATCTCTTTCTGTCTGCATCATTAAAATAGTATCTGTACAACAAACACAGAGATGTTTCTTTCTGGCCTCCAACAAAAAAAAGAAGAATTAGGATTTTGATTTGCTTTTTTCCTCAACAGGCTATGCTAACTTTACCTAAAAAAGATAATAAAATCTCTATTCAAAATAGCAATCTTAAAATATTTCATCATGATTTAGCATGAACAACAAAGATTTTAATTTACAAGAAAAATATAAAGCGCTTCTGTTGCAACAATGTTAGATCCGCATCAGCGAATTGTGAGGAATAATTACTCCCAGCCTTCTGGTTTCAAAATTTTTTCCAGCATGTTCTTCAATGAACAACAAAAATCATTTTAACGTCCTTTAAATAAATGGCCATTCATTCTGATTCTGCACGTAGAACCTGTTGTGTAAAAAGTAGCAGTAGCATCATATCACTTTAAAGCTGAAATCAATTAACCAGACATAAACCTTCTTATATTCTCCATTCTTTTAAATATATGGTTACAAATCTATATAGATGCAGTTTAGGTCCCCCAAATGCACCTCAGAGATACGCATAGAAGCTACACTATTATGATGGTTCACAATATATGAAAATCTAGTCCTTTTTAGAAGTTTATTTTCTATTTTTTTGGTTTGTTGCTAGGATAATGCGTGTTTTGCTGATGTAGGACTACCTCAAGAGAGACCTGTCTCTTGCTGCTACAGTTGGAGTTGAAGAGCAGACACTGACCTGTGTGGACAAGCAGTCGATAGGTTGATGCAAATGCAATGCAAAAAGCTTAAGTCTGTTAGATTTCAGATCTGCCGGCTGATCTGCTGTGAGGTCTAACAATTAATTAAAAGCCCTAGTTTTTTATTGAGGTTTAGACAAAAAAACATTAGTTTTGCAGAAATATCCAAAAAGTTTGATAAATCCAAAATGAAAATGATCCAAGTGTTTATATGAATTATAGGCTACACAATGTAGTTGCAATATTTTCTGAATTTTCAAAGTTGGAAACTCTCCATGGGAATAAGGAGGATTTTTGGTGAATTCATGGGTATGAACAGGGATAAATAGGATTGAAACTTGATTTTAGACTAGCACAGGTTGGCTCTTGTCAGACATTTAGGTAAATTAGTTTGGGAGGATATACATTTCAGCTTTGTGCAACACAATAATCTGTGACACCTCTCAATCACATGCAGCACAATGCTTACTGCAGGGACATTAAGGGCCCTTACATTTTTAATCCCATGCACAGATTATATCTCGAACCCTGGACCATCAAAGCCACATGTTTGAGCCTGGAGCACCAGAATAATATAAAACACATTTTTGTTGTTTAGGATATGTGCTATCAATTCATAAATGTTCTATATATATATCTTATGTTTCCTTAATATGTCAAATATCTATTTTTTCACAATTTCCCATTTTTTTGCATCATTTCCCATGAAAAGCTTCCAATTTGCAATAATTTTAAAATTTACAGAAATAAGCCAGAGATTTTCACCCCTCTTTTTAACCTTACATGTGCAACTTCAAACAATGTTACCTTTTTTTTTATTATCAGAAAACTACATTATTTCTGGTTTTACTTTTGGTTAAAAATACACTCATCAAAGTGGAATTTCCATCTATCTTTAGGCCTAAATAAGACATCCAGTCCATATACATTCTCATATAGGTCCGCTTCCTTCTCCTTATTTAAACATTCTGGTGATTAAATATTTATATTTGTATACATTTTGCTAGATATAGTATATAAAAATATACAATCATTAGCTAGTGGTGAGACAAAAGACAGAATCAGCTATATAGGACCAATACTTTATACCTCTAAAGAGCGAGGACCCCATGCATGCCGAACATCATTTTAATGTATAATTCACCATGTTAGAGCTTAAACCATCCCAAACCATCCAAAAAGTAGGAAATTAAAACATCATTCCCTCAAATAGCCTTCCCATTGTCATCAACCGCCTTATAGATTGTCATCATTCTGACAAAGTGGGAAAAATAAAGCCTTTATCAATCTTTGCCTTTACTTGAGTTGGTTATTTCACTTTGACCTGTGGAGGGAGTCAATTGCACCAGAGTGAACTGAGCATTTCAGATGCACAGCTGCTCTGGATGTACACAAGGACAGCAGTGATTTATGGAACACTGGATCAAGTAGGGCCACAGTTTCCATTTTGTGGGTAGAAGTGGCACAAAAAACTAAAATGATCATTGATGCCCTGTATTTAAAAATACTTGTACTAATCATGCAAATTCTAATGATAGCCTTTTACATAATAATTGTAGGACTAATTAAAAGTATGTTTTTTTTTCTATAAAAAAAATATTAGCTATTTGGTAATTTTTGTAAAAAGTCTTCACTGTTTCAGTTTATTATCTGCAGAGAAAAGTATTAGGGAGAGAATTTTTTTAAAACATGTTTAAGAATGCTTGTTTTGAAGGTAATGTATTGAGTGTTTTTATGTTTAAATATCTGTATGTATCTCAGGCTTGAGCCTCAGAAAGAATAAAACAAGCCCATAAGACACAAGATATGCAAAATCATCAACCATATATCCCTCTGCTGCTTTAAATTCCAATACTGACATTAATTACTATTATGTGGACTATAGGTAGAAAAAGCTACTATTTGTAAAGATGATATGATACTTAATGAGTATGAAACAACTAATCGACATGCAAACTTCATTTAGTGCTGATTAAGCTAAAGCACAGAGCTTAACCCATTCAGAAACTCACCTAAAAAGCAAAAAGCACAACACATGGAAGGCGCCACAAATAGGCAGGAACATGAAGTCAGCTGCTTTTTCAAGGACAATTTTTTTTTTCATTTCTCAACTCTGAGAAACTATTTTCTTATTCACCAACAGGAAAAACACTGGTTTCATTCAGTTCACTGCCTCAACCAAAACCCTAGTGCGTAAAAAGACAGGAAAAAACAACTTACCTAGACTGCACTGAAACGAACCTGATTTCAAGTATGTTAGGTTTTTTTTTTCTGATGCGAAAACCATTAAGTTAAGGAAAAATGATACATCTTGATGAAGATTTTCTTCATATTTTTTTTGTAGACTGTCACACACGTTTACTTAAGTAACCTTGTACACAGTCATAGTTATTGCATTGTTTTTGCATATCTTGTGGGTAGCAGGTTTCCACCTGCTCATATCGTAATACTGCAACATAACACCTCGACGGTCATGCTTACGAAAATGCTGCTTCACTTCACACAGGGACGCCACAAGGCTTTGAATCTCTCACACCGGCAAAGTAAAGACACAAAGCAGGCCTGGTGGGGCACTTCTGATATACAGAGGCTGCTTTGTGCATATGTTGGGATGAAAGAAGTGAACATTTTCAGCATAAATACATTACAGTGTATATAACATCTATCATAGAGACAGTCCCCAAATCTGTCCATTCATATGTGTGAATATTTAAAATTAGCCTCTTTAAAGCTCGTCCAAAAAACAAACAAACAATAGAAATAAAAACATGGAGAACAACAGTGCTTCCTCTTTCTGTATTCAAATACTGCTGTTGGTTCAAACTAACGTCTTTCAACTCTATCTCTCCATCTTTTAGACATTCAGTTATAATAGCTTAAATGAGAAATGAGCAAAGGACAAATAAATTGCCTTTAAGTTTGGGTTGAAAAATTTTAAGTGTTCAGATTAACTGAGAAAATTCAAAGAATCTCTTAATAAAGCCACAGGCTCCTGGAGAAATTTGGGAAAGTGAGAACACAGGCTTTTTCGGGAGTTAAAATATGGTCAAAAAATCACAAATAAAACAACAGCATGGAAACTTTCAGCACACTCAACATTCACATTTAGATTGCATAATAATGACAGAAGTCTTACTGGCACAGGATGCAGTGTATGGCAGTGTGTTTATGCATACTGTACGCTGCCACAAACCTGCTTTGCTTCATTTGAAGAGCTCAACAGCGATGGAAAATCCAAGAAAAAAGAACATTTTGGGCATACTGTATCTTAATACATGAAGCTATTTCTGTGTGAGCTGTAAAAAAATTGATGTCAATTGTATTAATAAAAAAGGGCCAAGGGACAGCAGGAGCTTTTGCAACATAGAATTAACTTAAAACTGCTGCTGTCAGTAATACTTTTACAAAGGCTTGTGGATGACTTTGGTTCAGCTGTAGCTGTTGTAAATAAAAATGGGAACTCTTTTATATATCAGCTAAATATTAGTATTGTTTTTATAGTTATCTGCATTACAATTACAATAATCCAATGTTTTTCTAAATTTAGTTAGAAAAATTCTTGAAGGAGCTGCAGCTCAAAGTACAACCTGCTATGACTTTTTCTCAAGTGAATTCACATTACAATTAATTAATGAATGTGAATTTAGTATAAAATACTGACTCTGCTACCTATTTTTTATTAAAGAGAGAGAACAAAATTATCTCACAGCAGTTATCTGTTCAAGCTCACAAATCTGACCTGAACAACAATCATACATGATGACTCTTGCCGACTCTCAGTGGTTGGAATTACACAGAAAATCTATATTTATATATATATTGTGAAATGAGTCTAGAACACAGAGGTTCAATAGAGAAGTCTTACAGAAACTTGACATCATCCCTAATTATTCATGGATGTGTCATTGTGGCAGTAATACATTTTAACATTTCTCTTATTAAGAAATGGTGAATAAGGACAACTGTTAGAATTAGGGATGTCCCGAGTCCGAACACTAATCTCCATTCCTGAGACCAGTCCTTTTACTGTATTCCTTTTGCACAGCCTGTTTTAAAATAAACAATGCTTATTTTAGTACCCATGGCTATATTCTAGATACTGTAGAAACTATGGTAGAAATGAGAGGTTATAAAGAAATGTCAAAGTTTATGAATCAAGAGAAAAACATCTTTCTTAAGTTTATTCCAAAGACAATTAACTGGAGCTGTTTTGCAATACCCTACAAGCCTCATTAAAAACAAGTTTTAACGAAAAAGAGTGTAAAACCTCTTAGCATTAGCTTAGTACTACAGCATAATGCTCTGCATGAAAGGGTAAGAAATGTGAGCTTATTAATGACTGTAAACTGGTGAAAGGACAAAATTTCTGCCGCTGTTTAGAAAAACAGACACTGCAAACGTTGTGTCATTGGAAAATTAAATCCACAAATCACCTAAAATACAGAATCTTAAGGGAACTGACAAAGTATTCTCCCTGCTATAAATAGGTACAGGGAAGGGAGGGTTTATCTCCTTACAGATTTGTCCTGCTTTTGCGTTTTGGCCACTAATAAATATTTCAGAGAACCAACTATTTTTTAATATCGATAAAAAAAGATTTCCTGAGTAATTACAAGATGCCGTTTTGTTTCTCCTTCCTCTCCTGGGAAAGTTAATTACTAATCTGGGTTTTCCTCATTTGTGGATAATGGTGTCCCTGGTGATCTGTTGGACTCTGACAATGACTTTCTAAACCCTCTTTATGGTTGATAGATGTCACTCTATTTCTTTACTCTTGTGGATTAATTTTACACTTTTTAATGTATTATCCTAGTTAAACAAATCCTACAGATTCTAAAGGTCTGAAAGCAGTGCTGTATAAGTGTGGCTGAGGAGCATAAACTGAAAAGAAATGCAATTAATCATAGTTAAAATTATGTCATTCACTTTTTCACAAAGTGCCAGTTTAAAATTACAGAATTGTCAGGCATATATCAATCTAGATGATGTATTGGGTTGCAACTCTGTATTCGATTTTGTTTTTAAATGGTTTTGTTTATTGGAGGCAAATATTCCGGTTCAGGACATCCCTACGCAAAAGCATTTCTAACTTTTGGACAAATGCAAAACAATACACCTTGATTCCTTAGTTTGATCTGGCAGCGGACCTCAATCCTATCAATTTCCAAATGGGGCTGTAAAGAACAGTTATGCATTGGCTAGAATTTAAAATCAGAGTGACTTTGACATTTGGCTGAGAAAAGTATAAAACATCCTAAAGTAACCACAAAGCTTTGGAAGTATGCCTGTCCATGGTAACCCTGTGTTAAGGAGGCCCATTACTACACAGACACCCTCTCTTGCACACATAACATATTTGTAATGCTACCTTAATTTACTGTATAGGCTTAAAATCTGCTTTTTATAGTACACAAGAACACACGCACACACAGACATGCGCACGCACACATTCCCACTGACTTTCTCTTCTGGAAAAAATAAATAAATAAATAGATAGAATCTGTAAAAGGTGCATACAGATAGAGAGAAAGACCCTCCAACACACGCACTACCTCACACACTCATAGGTTGTACTAAAACGCAGACACTCATATCAACGCACAATTATAGTTACACACTCGCCCGCACACTACGCCCTGCTTCGATACTTAAAACCTCTAAAAAATTTTTCCTAAAAATAAACCGAGCAAAAATACATTTATAAGACCAGCACCCCGATTGTGCAAACAAATCAAAGATAAATTAAAACAATAACGTCATGAATATAAAACAAAATATTGTCATGGCTAGCCAGTTTTGCACAATATTGAACTGTTTAATACATAGTGGGCGCGGTCTGTAGAAAGAGTGTGTGGCAGCAAATCCGACAGGATTCCAAGCTGACAGGAAGAGGGGTGCCCCGGAGAAGGAAGTGAGGTTGATTGACGGCAGATCTGCTGTGGATCCCCCATGACCAGAGTCTTTTTTTTGTTTTTCTTTGCAATCGGTCACTTCGGTTCTCTCCTCTACCCTTCGATTTTGTTGGCCCCGCATGACAAGCATACAGCTCCTCGAGTGCTGAATAAAGCAAAGAAATCCAGCACAAAGAGGAGAAGGGTAAGAAGGTAGCAAAGGAGAGGGAGGAAGGATAGAGAAATTGTGAGGAACTCTGAGGTATGAGGCAGAAAAGGGGGGTCTTTCTGTATCTGCTTAACCACCTGCCACTCTTTTTGTTTCTCGTTTGGGGCAGCCAAACAAAGAAAAGGGCAGATGGGGTGGAACTATCTCGAGGCGAGTTTGTCTCAAGCTGAAGTCTTACTAACCAGCTGAGAAGAAAGAGCCTGCTAGCTCCCTGTTGGCCAGGAAGTTTCCCCCTTTCTGTAACAGCCCTCTTCTGGCTGTTGATTCATCTCTCCAATCCTTCCTTCCACACCTGGCTGTGGTCGACACTTCATTCTAAATCCACTCCCAGGCTGGCAGGACTACAGGTTCCCATAGCTTTGGAAGAGGAGGATAAATGAGATTTAAGGGAATTCTCATCCCAATTTTACACAATACAGCGCTTCATCTTTGTTGAACAAAGGAGTCGACCGTTGACCACAGGTGAGCGGTGGTCAGATGGTAATCCTCAAGTGACCTCCCACGAGCTGGTCTCTGGTCCCTACCTGGCATTATGGCGGCCAGTCAAACAACAATAACACACACCACTAAATTAGGCATAGGAAATGAAAACATTAACATACGATCTTACTGGCAGCAAGTCCACAAAAGTACTTCCTGCTTCTTTGTTTGATCTTTATTCCATTTAGTCTGTCCTTTGTCGTTTTTTTTTTTGCTTGTCTCCATTTTCCTGCTCATCCCACGTTGAGGACATGATAAAACTGTGAGGCACTTTAGAGCCACACTCTGACACGTGTGGTGAACGCACACATACGGGTACAAATAGAGAAAACACACACACAGACACACAGAAGCACACACTCGGATAGTATATTGTCTGGTATACTTTACTGCAGACGCACATACTAGCTCAGTTAAACCCGAAAAGTCTTCTTGTGTTAAAGGTGCATCGCTGGCCGCCATTGTCCAGAGTGACAGAGTGAACCAACCAGCCGCCATACTGTTCGCCAGCACTGGCAAACCTCAGCCTCTGGTGGCACCAGAGGGGCCAGTTTGCTGATCAACGCTGCTGAGGTGGCCCCTACAAGCTCGTAACGCACTCCAAATCGTCATCCTCCAAAAGCCTGCTGTTGTTCTGTTGCGTTCCTGCAACCACAGCTGAACTTCTGTGGGATCGCTCTTCTCTCACATTTGTTTCCTCCTCCTCCTCTTCTCGCCCTCCCCCACTAGCTAGCAGTTCCTGTCGCTCCTCTATAGAGGATGGACCATGGATGTAGCCTCTCACCCCTCCGGCCTCTGCCCCGGCGTCACCCGGACTCAAACTGATGACTCGGTCCCTGTGCGGTACAGCTGCTGCTGCTGCATTGTGGCAGGGCAGGCTGCCATTGGGGCTGTGCTGAGAGGTGGGAGTGGTGCTGGATGCGGGGTTTGTGGCTGTGTTGCCGTTGATAATGTTGCTGGCTGCATGCTCCATCTCCTCAATGGTCATGTCGCAGGCATCAGCCAACTCGGCTTTGGTTGCCTCAATGAAGGAAGGGTCCTGGGCAAAATGACCCAAACCTTCTGATATAAGAACCTTTGAAAGGAAATAGGACAGAGAAGAATTATTGTTTCACTGTGGACTTGATGAATATTACCTTGCTAAAGTCTTCATAGCCCTTGGAAATCCCGTTCACTTTATGGCTACAGGTAGGCCTACATATTTAAAATAGATTGTATGGAATAAGTAAACGCTAGGCTTTGAACATTTATGAAATAGAAGGACAAGAATAAATAGCATAGACTTCTCTTCAGCTCCTCTGAGTCATAAACACTGTAAAGCTTTTAGGAGTGAAGTTCTTTTTGGCTATTCCTCTTTAAAAAAAAAAAAGCTAAATCTAAGACTGCGTGTGTCGGAGTAGAGCAAATTTGAAATATTGCAAAAGTGTCTTTTGGGCCAAAGTATGATTTTTAGCAAAAAAATGTTTTCTTTTTGTTGGTTATAATAAAACATTTCTGACTCATTGTTATTCTTCTCATTTTGCTGTTTGTAACTTCTAAATATATTCAAGCCAAAAAAACAAATTACCGATTTAAAATGTAATTAATCCCGCAAGCCAAATTGGTTGTGAATAGAGCGAAATTTGGGAGCTATGGCAACATAATGTGACAGACGGATTCAATAGCCATCCAAACTAATTTTGGGAGTATGTGTGAGTCTTGACACCAACCCCTAAACATAATAATGCTTTAACTTTTTTACTCATCAAATGATATGTTTTATTATGTTTGCTCACAACCTGCAACCCAAGCCATTAGTAAATTCTAAACTCATTTTATTTCGTGCACCAAAAAAAAATAAAAAAATCTTTATTCTATAAATGGCACACCTGAAAATATAAGTTATAATTTAGATTAAAGGTGTAGCTTAACATTAACGGTAAGATATATAGTAAAAAAATAAATAAAACAGAGATTATATTTGAGAAATGTCTTATAAAAAATTATTTTCAATAAAATATTCCATTGAACTAACAACCTATACTAGTGGACATTAGTGGGAGATTACAAATGACTTAATTTACAGAAAGGTATGGGTTTAACCTTAAAATTACGTTTGAACATCTTCCCTGTTTCAGGGGGAGACAAACATTTCAATGTGTTGTACATTTTGTAACAAATTGCTTTTGTTGACCTTCTTTCCAACTCTTCTGTTGAAATTAGATGTGTTGGGTTCATTATAGATCATAATACTTGGTAAAACTTTTTCTATATCCTAACTTGCTGCTTTAAACCTCTTCATAGCAGGAACAATAAACCCCTCTGGTGCACCTTTGTCTGCATGATGCTGTTTGTTTATTAATGTTTAACAAACCTCTGAGATCTTCAAAAACAGCTGATTTTTTAAAGTTTTTCTATTATAAATAAGTGTGAAGACTATAGTTTGAACAGGTTTTCAAGGGTATCAAACAAAAGGATAATGAATAGAAATACTTTTCACACTTTTCAGATGTTTGTTTGAAAAAACCATGAACAATATTTATTCCACTGAAAATTATTTACTATCACTGAGTTTATTTGTCACATCTAGGGATTTTAGAACTTTCTCAAGACTATTTTCTTTTAATGTGTTTTCTAATAGATGCAGAAGAAAGACTTACCGCTTCCACCAGGCTGCCTGCACTGCCATGAGAGAGCGAGCTCGGGTCCTTCCCCAAAAGCGATGGCACAGTAAGTGACACCGGCCGCCGTGCTCGTTGACTTGACCCCGGCGTGGGGCTAGGACTGGCCACAGGACTATTCCCATTACTGTCACTGTACCTAGATGCAACGCATGCATTTGTCTGATTAAACAAATAACTTATGAGTGTTTGCGACATATCACTGTTATCTATGCAAAGGTCTCACCAGGGCCCACAATTGACAGAAGGCAAGCTGGTATTTAGCTTTTCATGAGAGTTAGACCCCTCTAGCCTCAGAGAGGGAACCTGCTGGTAAGAGGCATCACTGCTTTGGGCTACAAAAACAAAAACAAGGGGAAAATCACACCAAGAACAAGTACAAAGAGTTATTACTGAACAGTTAAAAAAAGCCCAACCTATTCAAATTCTGGTTTCAAATAAGTATTTCCCTTTGGTAAATGTCTGTGTATTCAATTTTTTACAGCTGGATGACCTTTGATAGCTACCTGTGGGGCTGGTTGGAGGGGTGGAACACAGCCGGCTGAAGAGAGTAGGTGAGTGACTCCTTCTCAAAAGGGGACTCAACCCTGCCACTGCCAGAGCCTAGAAAAGAGAAAAGAAAGGATGAGCAGAAAGGCAATTATAACACATATGCATTGTTTAAATTGCAGTGATACACACAGTAATGCTTGCATTCCCTTAAAAGATAAAATTTGACTCTCTTGAAACCTATAAGGCACTTTCCCGAGTTTCTTTAGAACCTGTGGGGAAAGTTCTAGAAAAATCTTTCCCTGGTATTTTTCAGAAATTGTTGAACATACAAGATGCTTTGCAGGAACATAAAAGGTAGTTTCATGAGAGTTGCCAAACTTTTTTTCTGTAATTACCTTACTAGTAACTTTTACAAAGTACTGTATTGGAACTTTCATGGAGCTTACCACATAATATCTGGACCTATCTACCCAATTTGTCAGATGTTTTCTATAGTGATCGGAATTGTGGAGTCATCACGCCAGCTCATCCATCCATCCATTTTCTTACACGCTTATGTCAAGTGGGTTCGCGAGGGGTGCTGGTGCCTATCTCCAGCTGTCAACGGGCGAGAGATCACACCAGCTCTTTACAATGTATTTGATTTGTAAAGCCACTGAACCAAGAGAGTCAAATTAGCACAATTTAGTTCATTGTACAGGTTGACTCACCTGGTTCACTGGCTGGGTAGAACAAATAAATAGTATGGAGATGACTTGATGACTCCACAATTCCCTGCTCCGCTAAGTACTTTCCTGGAACTTAGAAGGAGATTTCTGGAACTTAATAGGAAGTATCCTGAAACTAAACAGGTACCTTCCAGAACATTTTTGTGGTGCTTACCAGGTGCTTTCTGAAATTCCCCAAATACTGTCCTTTAGTCTACTAGATACTTTATCAGAGGTTCCACAAAACTAATAAGGTTAAATAAACTTTCAAAAAACCAACTAGATATCATTTGACGAACCTATCTAGTAAGTTCGGTCAAGGTAATATCCCCCAAATACTATATATATATATATATATATATATATATATATATATATATATACAAGCTGTAATATGTACTAGTACCCAAATCTGCAAGTTGTCCTGTATCCATGGCGCCACATTTTCTTGAAATCTGAAAACGTGCCCTTAACCACTACTTCTATAGAAGATCTTTAATTGCTTTTTCATTGATTTTCAGTCTAATCTTTGAATCTGACCATGGCAGTGTTTTGTAAAAAAGATCTTTAAAAAGGTGGACCAAATGATGTACCACAAGAATTTGCTAGTTAAAGCTTCGAGAAACCCGAGCTGACACAGCTACCTTTCCTATTGGCCTGAACAATGGTCCTAAAAGCAAAAGTCTACCTGATGATGTACAAGATGTAAAGGTACAGCAGTCTTCTGGGAAACATCTGGCCTCGAATGTCTCCGAAGACACTCCAGATGGAAAGAAGCTCTCCGTCCTGACACAAATCACACAAGAGCCAATTACAGTCTATGTGTTCATACAGAATCTGGTTGGAGGAAGTTCTGTCTTCAGTTCTGTTTGTTCTCACCCAGAGTAGTTGGACAGAGGAAGACTCTTCTTGGAGACTGCCATCCTCCTCCTCCTCTTTGTCCCTCTACTTCTTCTGCTTCCTCCATTGGAGTCAGCTGCTTACATGTTTCATCATGATACACCAACCTAATAGATATAAAAAAAAATTCATAGAGAAAAACAAAATCAGTTTTGTGTTCTGATCAGATTCAAGCTGATGAGGGGTATTTTTTTTTATTTTGTATTTTTTTTTTTTTTAGCAGTACATGTCAGAAGAAAGTGAGTGCTCATCATCCTGGTACTCCCTGTCGTCACCATAACTCTCATCGTATGTCTCCTCTGTTGACCCCTCCCCTCTCTGGATGATTGGCAGACGACTGTCACTCGAGTCCGAGCTACAAATAAAATGGGCCAGCGACCAAATAAGCAAAGCAAACACACACAAACAAAATTAACACAGAGACGCATAACCGATGGGGGCACATTGAGAAACATATGTAAACACATAAAAAAGCAGCTGATTAGCAAAACAGTCAGCAATGAGCTTCAAAGGAGTGGGATTTAACTTGACTAATTCGTATATGAAACAGTGAGAAGAAGAGGCCTGCAGAGAAGCGGCTGCCATTTATAGCTGTTGTGTCGAAGCAAAAAAGTAAATAGCACTAAAAACAACACTTAGAGTACAAGAAATGATAGCAGACTGAAATTTAGACATCTCTGAAAACTGAAAGGAGAAACTGAAGTGGAGATGCATTCTATGGGCTAAGATACTGACAGCATTTGTTTTACTGGACATTAAACTGGCCCCATAGCGGGAAAGGTTTTAAGATGGTTTTGCATTATTGTGTCTCAAAACCATTTGTGGATCTAAGAACACCAGAGATTCATATTTTCGGGTCTGTATTTTGTGTTTATTTCTTTCTGAAAATTAGGCTGTGAGACATGATTTGTGTTATCATTTTTGAAATTTGTCAGCATGCCCTTTTTTTTCTAATGCTTTTCTCACAATTGGAAACAAAATCTGTAATATCCTTTGTGTCTGCAACGGAGAATGTACCAATCAATGTTTGGTTTTTTTTGAGGTTGGAAGAATATCGGTATTACCATCGAAGTTAAAGAGTTAAATTTGCCAAAGGCTGTCACATCTGTGTCATTACAATGGACTGTTTCTTCTTGATCAGGAAAATCTTTCAAAGATGTCTTCTCATCAATCATGTCTGTTTCATAATCCAAAACTCAGCATTAAGGAAACATTCTGACATTTCAATTTCACTTCCTTTCTCTTTCACCAGATTGTTCACTTTAAAGCAAATATTTCCCATTAGCCACAAAAGTTACCCCCAATGACAATACATTTTAACAATGAAATTCCCTTTTTTTTTTTTTTTTTTTTCTTTTCTTATCATGCAGCAGAACCAAAGTACTTTCTGAGAACATTCTGGTGAAGAAAACCAAAACAAAATGTCAGCTATTTCAGGGCTCCACAGCAAGCTCTGGGTTAGATCAGGGTTGAAGTAAAACCTTAATAAAAAAAAAAGAAATACAGATAAAACCTAAACCTGTTGGGGCAAAGATCTAATACAAAGAGTTTTAGAGATTCTGTGTTTTTGAAATGAAACACAGAATCTCAAGGAGATAAAAACAAATTTAATAAAGGAATTATAGAATTGAGGAGATGCATATCATAAACCTTTTTTTAAGTAATTTAATATTTATAAAGTATTTCATGTGTAAGTGTTTTCTGAACGTATTCATTCATTGATTCATATATATATATATATATATATATATATATACACTTTAAAATTAAGAAAAAGTCCCATCCAACTCAAACATTTCGATTGACTCCAATCAGATTATCACAGCTTGACATAATAATAGAGTGAAAATAACACCCCCTGTGCAATATTTATTTAATTTGAATAATATTAATTTAACTGTCGATATTGATTGAATTTGAATGAAATAAATCAATAAGGAAGATTAGTTATTAAAATGTAGCACAATAATTGGTTGACTTCAGCTTTTAATGCGTGCTTTAGTGCAGAAATGGCAGTTCTAAAAGTTCCTAATATCCCTATGGTAGCTAGGCATCCCTATAATTTTTTCCAATTCCACATAACTGTTTGAGCAGATAACTGGAGCCCTTATTTTAATATAAAAAATACCAGGGAATTACCTGGATTTCCCAATTCTCTTTGTATTTTTTAATGTTTTCTTTTCTAATGCTTTTACACAAGAGCTGACTGGAATGGAGTGTTTTAAACCATATATCCATAGGTTTCTCTCAAATTCACTTAAATGTGATCCAATCAATGAAAAGAGTCCAAAGGTATTGTCCTTATTAACTAGACTAATAGAAAGAGTTTGGGTAATCCTAACCGGCCTCAAACAAAGAGGTTTATATCTGATTTAATGTCAGATGGTGAGGGGGTCATTTTTCTGCACTCAAATTGTGAGTAAAAACTACAGTTTCAACTTCATTCGCTTTCAATTGGAAAAATGATTCAGTGCTCAAAATGCTGATGACACTTTGCATTATCCATGGAGCAGTTAATTAAACAACCAAGATCTTTTAAAGAGAAAAAGCGCTATGGTTCAATTAATATTGCAGAGGGAGCAATACTTATTCTGATATTTATAATATTTAGTTTAGCAAATTTTGCTCCCTGAGCAATGTTTATTCATTTAGAATAATATTAAATAAATTTGCGATATTAATTGAATTGAAATGAACTGAATTGGATCCTGGTTGACTAAATTTAATAATTTTTATTTTTTCATAAAATTACAAATGAACTGAATCAATAAGCTTTGTGAGTGCTGTGAACTGAAGTTAACATACTTTTGGTTCTGTATATTTGAAATCATTGCTATTTTTGATGTGTTAATACTGTGATATATATCATAACTACAATTTAGATATTCTAAAGTTTTATTTTATAATCCAAGTAGGAAAGCTTTAGGATATCTCAAAACATTTCTGTACAGATTGGGTAGCATATTGTGTCTAACCCAGACCTGCTGTGATGTATAATAAAGGAGCAGCAGCGGAAGCCCTTGATGGAAGAGGTTTGGGAGTGTTGCACCAAACAGTCCATCTCTGGCTGACTTCATAACTGCATTGCAAAGCCTGGCTTTTGCTATAGCAACTACCACATTATTTGCACAGATAGCAGCAAGTGCAACCGTTGCATCTTGACAGCTATTTTATTTTGTAAAGCATCATAGGATTTGTTTCCCTTTATGCACCTAGAAAGCTAACAGAACCCACAGACATTCCCTCTCTGACCCTTGGCAACATACCGCATGAGGGTGTCATAAAACATCCTGTTTGCCAACAGAAACAAGAGAGAAGGAGAGAAAGCAGTTGATGAAGAGAAGAAAATAGTGGACTCATTTTTGTTAGGAAGGAATTATAGATACGTTTCAGAAGAGTTTCAAGGTGAGTGTATGAAAGAAATAAAGCTTTGAGGGAAACATTTGCACGAAGATGCAGCTCATATGTTGTGAAGACTGTCCTACACTCACCTTTTCGGAGGGAAGCACCATGCTGATCTTGGCAGCAGGATGGGTGTGAGCGGCTGGTCTGTGTGCCCGTCCACGGTGCTTATGGATGGGCTTGGGAATCGGGTGATGCCCTGGGGAGTCACTCCTGTCATTCCAGTGTTATTGGCGTTGTTGAGGTTGGCATTTGAACCTGATGAGGAGTAAGATGAAGGGGTGAAGGTGGTCGAGCCCATCAGCTTCTCGTGGGACGGGCTTTCGCCTTCGCAAGGAGAGCCCTTCTGGCTGATGTGCAACGGACGCTGAGTAGTGAAGGACTGTGGGAAGGATCCACGACCATCACTCTGGTTGTAATAGTTGACATGGTTGCCAAACAAGCCACCTGTGCGCTGTTGTGTAAAATACAGAGAGAAAAACAGAAAACGATATTTCAAATCGTCTATAGTATAGTCAAAGAGCACCTTGGGTAATTATAGGTACCTTGCATTTTCAAATTTTGTCATATTACAAGCTCAAACCTCATTGTATTTTAATAGTAATTTGTTTAAGAGAGTGCATAGTTCATAACTATGAAAGGGGGTCTGAAGGAAATACATAGCTACATTTTGATTCTTTGACAAGCGCATAAGACAGGAGTGATAAATGTGTATGTGTATTTGACCCCCTAGATTCTGAACCTCAGGTGGTAGCATCATCATTCAGTAGGGGTGCCTTTCATCAGAGAAAAAGGTCAGAGTTGATGGGAAGATGGGTGGATCTAACTACAAGGCAATCCTAAAACGATTAGAGCCAGAAAAAGACTTGCAACTGGAGTCAGGTTTCATCTTCCAGCAGGGCTATAACGGATTGCTTTAGATCAGATGTAATATTGTGGAATGGCCAATTTAAAGGTCAAACCTAAATTCAAATTGAAATCTGTGGAAAGGTTTTAAGCTAGCTTTTCCCTCCTACTCACCACCCTGCTTGACTTGGCTTATTTGGTCAAGAAGAATGGAGAATAGCTGGTAGATATATTACCCAAACATGCATATGTATTTACCAAGTATTCACTCAGTGGTAAGACATATGTATGCATGTCACACTTTCCAGATTTTAAAAAAACCTGTTTCTTTTGTTTACATTTTACAACTATGCACCACTTTGTACCACAATAACATACAAGGAAGTTTGTTCAAGAAGGACAAAATTTGAAAATAAATACAGCAAATTTATTGCTTATGTAATGCAGAGCAATTATTAACTTTTGGAGGGTGGACAAAACTTATTTTTAGTCACAAGTAAGTCTTGTGGAAAGTCCAACTGAAGGCATAGAGGTTTTGAGCAATGTCAATGTCCTAAACTTTTCAATTTTTGTCTTAACACAGTATTTCAACCAATTATTTAATCTAATTACAGTGATAACAATCTTTAGCTTTTAAAATTATTGATTTTTATTTTTGTTTTGTTGCCAGAAGAACCAGCAAGCAGAGATCTCAGGGAATTAATAAATCAAACTAATTGATAAAAGAACGTAATAAAAAATTTCAAAATATTGAAGAAGAAAGAATTTGGATCCTAAAAATGTAAAAAAAAAAAAAAAAGGAGCAAGATAACAAAAAAAAAAAAATGCTGCAATCACTAAAATAGAAGCAAAAACTGACATATTAGTAATGACGAAGACGAATAATACCAGGCTATTAAGAAAAAAATACTTTGATTTTGACTTCAGCGATGACATCACTCCCGCTATGTTTCTGGGGGCATTTTATGCTGTGTCTATCACTCAACACAAAGGCCACAGATTCATGGCACCTCTGGCATCCCATACAACTGCCTATGCTGTCACTGGGAGCCACCCTGATCACTGTCTTCAGACTTGTAATTAAGATCGGTCTGGAAAACTCCTAAGATCTGGATTTCTTACTGAAAAAGCATAAAAATTATGGTATATGGACTTATGTTGCATAGTAGCCTATTCATGGATCATGGATAATTGTTCTCTAAATTTGCCCCACAATTTATAGCATGGGATGGGAGGATTGTTGTTGCTGTCATCGTAGGATGGAATTGGATTTTTCTTCTTTTTTAAACATACTTTCTGTTTGGTAAAAAAATCTTCTTAGCTCAAAGAGGTCAAGCTGAAGAAATCTACAATTCATCAAAGTCAGACTCATGTCCAAAATTTTTGTTTTCATCGATTCAAATCTAAAAATCTAAAATATGTATAAGGCTTGAGTCTAACTCAATGCTAGGTCACATCCTCTGAGTTAATGTCTGTGCTTTGTATAGCGATGAAACTACACTACATGGAAATGGAAAGCAAAGACCAGCAGCTGCTAATCAGGCAAAGCAACAAAAAAGCCAGAGCTAAAAGTAGTGGATCGAAGCAGTGCATCATAAAAAGAATACAGAGTATTCTCTCATTATGTATTTATCTCCTTTTGCTCAAAAAGGAACATCACTCAGTCAGTGGGGAAGACTGTATTGATTTTAAATATAGCCACAAACTAAGTAAGTCCAAAACAAAAACAACAACTAAAAGCATAAAATTACCTTTTTTGTTGAGGGTAGTTAAAATACTTAATAATTTAATTTTGTTTCATATTTCAGAATTTCTAAAATTATAGAAATAACTGGTGATTTTGTAATTACTTCTTCCTGTCTACCATTAGAATGACTCACTTCGCATTTGGAGCTAGTTGAATACAACACATAGCTGAATTTGGACTAAAGCTTATTTTTCTTGATACCAATGTTGTTTAATTTATTTTTAAATAATTTAAAATGAGTAATTGGATGTAATAATTAGAAGTAGTTAGAACCTTAGATTCATACCATCATTTTTTTCTGTATCATTATAAGAGGATATAAAACCTTAATGTCCCATGACAGCAAACATTAGTGGAAGCTGGGATTTTCTTCGTTTTGGTTCTTTTAATGTTAGACGATATACAGTAACTGTGCTCATACATTCTGCTAATGAACATTTTAGATTGTATTGCCAACACCGTTTCTCATATTTCTTATATTTTTCATCTGCAGCGGCACTTGTACCACTGCTTTACCCTAATAGACATTGTATGGAAAAGGTTGATTTTTAACAGACATATCTGGCTTAATCGTCTCTTTCAAATAATCAGCTTACTTCACAGCAGTCGTTCCACATGTGAACAACAATGCTTATTCCGTAGACTTATGCTGAACTAAAAGCCCAGAATATTCAGGGAAAGTGTGTCTACTCCCTCACTGTCAAAGTATATGATGCAGCCAAGCTTTGTGGTACACTGAGCACATGCAGGCATGTATCTGTATATGGATGGATGCTCAAGCTGGTGCCGGCCGTCTCTTTCTCTCCCTCTTTCTGGAGAGTGAGTGGGGACTTGTGTATCAGACCTTTACCCTGAAGATATCGTCTTCAGACGCAGCTGACACTGACTCCTTCATGCCTTTGTCCATCTCCTCCTCCACATTCAAGTCTCCAGAGATCGCCCTCCTTATCTCTGGACCGATGTCGTGCAGTGTCCGCAGGCCAGCCTGCACACAAGTTTAACACCATCAGTTGGCTTCATAGCCTCTGCTTCCGTTTTTATGGGACTGTCATCAAAAACCAAACACACAACTTCTGTGAGTACCTGCAGAGAAAGGGCCGTTTTGGGGGGTACCTTGGCCACTAGACCTTGTTCTTTCCTCTTTTTAAACTTGCGGAAATATTCCTGAATGAGGAAGGTGGCATAGAACTTTCCAACTGTAACTTCATCATCTGCAAAACAATTCAACATTTTAATGGATAAGTTTTAGAATGAGTTGTCAGTGTAGGTTTGGAGAAATCACATGTGTATTGGGAAGGATACACACCACCAGCAGGGGGCACAACTTGATCCAATAGCTTCATGCTGGTTCTCTTCCAAATCTTTTTCACAATTGCTCTTAGCTCCTCATTAGCCTGCTCTAGATTACCTGGATGTGCATCAAACAGCATGCATACAGTATGGTTAAGGAAAGACTGTCGCACTTAAGACTGAGGCCTCAATTCATCAAAAACCCTCATTTAGATTTGATAACATATCATTTTACTTATAGCTTGAGATCTTGGACACTCCTGAATTCCTTCAATTTCTGCATATTAGTTTTGGGTCTGGAACTTATATGTTAGGAACCAGCTGCAGAAAATGTTTATTCTTATATTTATTCTTATATTGTTTCAGCCAAATATAAAAAAATACTTACAGTGATTTTATTTTGGGCACCACCAGAAAGGGACTGGTTGTTTAACTGAAAAATTTTACAAATTACTTTTCTCGAGTCTATTTTCTAGGCCTCAGATGTATTTGTGTGATATCAGGGTTAGCACTGTCACTAGCATTTTGAAATCACACTGTTGTAGTACTTGGGTTTAGAGTTGCAAATACAGAAATCATCAAAGGCCCATTAATAAGCACTTATTAAACCTTGACAATTATTAATTGAATCCATTCTAATTTAGTTTGACTCCAAGGGAAGTCATAATTATCATACATTCTAAATATGTTTCGTAAAATTGCTTTCATTATCGTCTATTCTCTTGAAAGGTCTTGGTTTCTATGCCTGTTAGCTTAACTTGCACCACTCTATAAAGTGTTTGTCCTTATTTGTGTCTGTTACCTTCTGTCTTGATCCTGAGGGCAGTTCTGACCAATGCAAACAATGTGGCATTGAACATAACGGTTCCATCGCTGTTCAGAGGCATATTCATTGACACCAGGCGCTACAGGAAACCAGACAGTCATGAGCCGAAACAATTCAGACATACAGTCATGATCAACAGTTGTGGAGGTCATGAAAATCTGCTGCTTAGAGGTGCTTCAGTTGTATTTGATACTGGGATTTGCATTGGGTCTAGGTTGCTATGAAGATTGAATAAATTTAAATTACATTAATAGGAAAATACCTTATACAATAACCTAAATTGCATTAAGGTTTAGCCCTGCTACAAGCCTGACCTGCTAGGATGCTGTTGCAAGAAATCCAGCATATTATTCACTAAATCAAATTAAACAAATGAATGAAGCTGCTGCAAACAGTTTTTAGATGAATCAGCTCAGTAAAACAAGCTCTTAAATACAATAGAAAATAGGACTTTTTCAGCATGTCCATGTCACAAGTGATCACCTATTATAATGTTCAGTGACACTTAGGGGCAATGGCAGGAAAATTCCCAGGATCTTGATCCAACTAGAACTTTGCATATGCTTGATGAATTACTCAATAAAAGCCATTGAGTCTTATGAAATGTTTTAATGTATTGTTATTCAGTTTAACACATCTGACAGGTAATGTGTAGGAATTTGCATTATTTTTTTTTTACCTTGCACGCCACCCTGTGTGGACAGAGCTTTCCAAAACCGAGAGGAGGCTGAATTCTCCGAAGCAAAGTGACTACATCTAGGTGTTTTATCCTCCCCCTGAAAACAAACGACCAAGTCTCTCCCATAAGTATGAGCATGTCTTCATTCTAATGCTGATTTTATTTCTGCTCCCTTTAAACTTACTTAGCCTCTGGGTCATATTCTGCCCATATCCTCTTAAACTCATCAAGATGATGTGGCCCCAAAATTGACCAGTCCCGGGTGAGATAGTCAAAGTTGTCCATGATTACAGCCACAAAGAGGTTGATGATCTAGAAAAAAAAAAGAACATAATCAGTCATATTTTGAATTACATTAATACATTAATTAAAAAGTGTAATCTGCAAAACAATACAGTAAAAAAATAATATTGACAAATTATTTTGCTCAGTTGAAAACATTCTTCTGTTCTTTGCACATACCAGAAAGGCACACAACATGTAGAAGCTGACAAAGTAAATGATGGCAAACTGGCTGCCGCAGTCCTCATGGGCTGAGCTGGTTTCATTGGTTGACCCTTTCTCGCATGGTTGATTGGGCGAGCATGCCAGCATGATCTCTTGCCACGCCTCACCAGTCGCACATCTGATAAACAGAACAGAAGTACAGACATGCAGCATGCAGAATCATGCAAAAACATTCAAATCCACAAAAACAAAAGAATATTACATCCAGATGTATGGACAAAACATACACGCACACACATGCATAAACATACACAAAAAAAAAAACAATCCAAATGGGAAAGAGGGGGAGAGACAAGCAAAAAATAAACATAAGTGTGAATAGTTATAATATAAACATCGCTTTCCTTAAACAATTCCATCAAGAGGAAGTGCCCTGCAAAAGTATTCATACAACTTATTTACATTTCATCAATGTAATTTTTCTGAAATGAATGAGCCGGACTAACACAAAGTAGTGCATAATTGTGAAGAAAGATGAAAAATGCCTTTCACATCTGTTGATAGTCAACCTGTGAAGTGTATCATGCATTTTTATTAAACCCCTTTTTCTCATATAAAAAACAATCAAGTATAGCTAAATACGCGTAAATGTGAAATGCCTGTAAATGTAAAATCAGTAACGATATATCTGTTCTTTAAGGACATTAGGAAGAATAAACTCCCTGTATATTGTTATATTACAGTGGGAAAATTAAGGTATGTTAGTGGGATAGCAAAAAGGAAGAAAAGTAAAAACGCACAATAGCATGTTATATTAAAAGGGGCAAAAATCTAAAGAATTAAGAATAGACTGCAAAGTAAAAAAAAAAAAAAAAAAAAAAAAAAAAAAAAAAAAAAAAAAAAAAAAAAAAAAAAAAAAGAAGAAACAACTCTTCAGTTGTTAAAAAAATTGCA